TTTCCCTTTTGCCAAGGGTTTGCTTTTCCCTTTTGCCAAGGGTTTGCAAGCTGGTCTTTTTGCAACAAAGCCCAAGCTTTTCTGCAGCTTTGCTTTCTCTTCTGCCTGATCCTCCTTTGGCTCTTGAGTGGTTGCCAGCTGCCCCTGCCTTCTTCTCAAGAAAGAGGGCTGGGGCAGTGCTTTTGCCAAGGAATCCTCACCTCCTTTTGCCAAGGAGTCTTCCAAGGCACTCCCTTTTGGCAAGGGGTGTTCATTCTCTCCTGCTGGTGGTGTTCCAAAGCAAGCAGGGTAGCCTTGGCTGTCCAAGGACACTTCACTGATTTCCTTTTTTCAATTTCTTCTCTGGTTGCTTTTGCTCTTCTTCTTCCCTTTTGGCAAGGGGTAATGCATGCATTTCATTGTCCTTCTTCTCCATGATGTCAATGACTTCCTGCAAATGCATGAACTCCAGAGATGTTAGCTTGCCAGCACACATCCTCAGGTCTTCTCCTTGTTTCAGTCTTCTCATGTGGTATAGGACCACCCCTACCCTTTCCACTCTGACATTGACCCAGAGGCCACCATTCCAATTACTCTTGTTGAGGGCTGGGTGCTCCATCAAAACCTGCATTACAGCTTGCCTCAGATTCCCTGGGTGTATCTCAGCTGTTGGCTCCAAAGCCACCAGCCCTTTTACCAAGGGCAACACCTTCAGCAATGCCTTTGGGTTACAGCATTGGTTCCTGGAGATCTGCTCATAAGGGCCCAAATCAGCCAACAGATCCTTGCGATCTGCAAGGCATGTAACCAGCAAGTCAACATCAACCACTGGTTTGCTTGTGTGCCTGGCACCACCCTTGCCCATCACCCTTTTGTCAAGGGGTAAGGCAGCCCTTTTATCAAAAGATTAGATCCCTTTTGTCAAGGGATTAGATCCCTTTTCTCAAGGGCTTTGATCCCTTTTCTCAAGGGATTATTACCCTTTTCTCAAGGGGCTTACCCATTTTGTCAAGGGTTCAACTTGCTGTTTGAGATAGAAAAATTGCTGCAAAAAAAATCAATAAAGGAATCAATAGCAAAATCAATTAAAAAATCAATATATTTCTTATCACAAATCTATTGATAATATCAATAAATTTTGCTATTGAAAATTTCAATTAAAAACAATAGGTTTTAATTGATTAGAATCAATAGAGGATGCTCAGGGTGCCACCTGTTCCATTCCTTTTGGGCTTCCTCCACTACCACGCCTGTCCAAACGGCCCTCCTCGCGCCTTCCGCCCACTTTTGGTCAGCATCCATGCGGCAGCCAAGCCGCTAGGGCCGCTGCCGACCACCAGCACTGGCTTGGACACATCCTCGAACGGGTCACAACTTGGACCGGACCTTGTTCGTTCCTTAAATCCCTAGGGACATGCTTTTCGCCTAAAAACAAGTATGTATATAAGTATACGTACCATATGTACTTGTACCATCTTGTATCCATCTTTACGACCTGAGACTTAAGTTTTGACACTTAATCTTCACACTGGACTCAAATCGAGATGGACGAAACCCAAATTAACAGGTTGTAGGAGTCAGGGACATGGATTCTGTGAGCCACGGGCCCTTTTCGGCACATCGACACTGGAAACTGACCCACGGACCTATTTTTGGATGGAGGACAAGTGGAAGATGATATCATATTAATTCATATTATATATATATATATCATTGTGATGCTTTAAACAACTATGCACGCTCCAATCCTTTCGTGATCACGCTCCTTCTTCGTCTTTCAAAGAGACCTCATCGACCCCTGTGTTCGCATGGCGTCGTGTTTTCTCCGGTTTTCTCATCAAAATCACCGCCGACCTCTGGCCAAGGCGTTGGGAGACTACTCGGCCGCGTCGCTGTTTTCTCGTTGCACTGGAGATCCATTCATTGCAGCTTCGCAGCAAATCCCTCCTCACCCATCCATGGATCCCTTAAAGACTGACTTTTTGGTTGCTCTACTGTCCCAGGGACGTAGTCAACAAAAATTGGTCCATGTGTTCGTGTCCAAGAGGCACGGTTTTAAGGAAATGGGCGCACTCATCAAATCGGCAGCTTGCATCAATCAAGGAGATGTGCAGCTCAAAATCCATCACCCAGGGGTCACACGGAGTTGGGTGGTGTTTAGCCCCCATCCAGTGGCCGTGGATGTGACGTAAGGGCACCCCAACTCCTTCCGTTCGTTCGGAACCGGCACCGAACGTGACTCCTCGAAGTGGTACACCTCGATGCACCTGCACCTCCCGGACTACCGGAACCGCCTCCCTGAGATGCGCGCATCGGCTGCGACTCGTCTCGGAACCAAGCTTCGAAGCTTGCGTTCAGGACTTTCGAAGCTGGTGCAAAGTACCTCGGTCCCATCGAGCTATACAGACGCGACGCGGAGGTCGGCCGGCGCACGCAGCTTACTCGGTGCTCTCCTTTCCGCCCACCCGGTGCAAACGCACGAGGAACTCGTGTCTGGCGGAGTCTCAGTACCCAAGATGAGACGAGAAAAGTACCTCTGGTGTACTTGGCTCATCCTCAAGTCAAAGTGTTCAACGGATTTGACAGCGACGTCGGTGGTTAGTGGCGGTGGGACCGCTACCAGGGCCTTCTGACAGGTCCAGGTGCTTTGGGACCCTGATGAAATGATTTCTGGGCAGGCCTTCAAAATAGAAACTTGTCCTTGGGGCTCCAGCTCTACCTCCTGCATGGGGTGGTTTGGAGGGTCTGGCTACCTTCTCAGGATGTGGTTGGAGCATGTTGGAGCCCCGGGGTGGTCCCCGATCTTGGTGTGTGACTTTCAAGTGTTTGTATCGGATTGCCAAGTGCTTCAAATCATCTGTGTAGCTCTGACTCCCTTGACGCTTCCCTGAAAAATAGACACTCAACGCTTCCCATCCGTTCATATATTTAGGTGGAGAAATGAATCCAAAAAAAGTGTTGAAGGACTTGTTGAAGGTTATCCAATGACTGGGTAGGACTTGTTGGGACTTGTGTGAAACATGTCCTTTGGACTTCGCGGTTTGAAGCACGACAGTTCAAACACATGCTTTAGTGAGGCAACATGTAAGCCTTGCAACTCTCCGTTTGGCTAAGCAGCTAAGCACTTCTGCTACCCTACCCATTCGCGTGTAGTACATTATCGGCTTTTGGCTTCGAAAAATTAGCCGTTGATGCTTCCAAGAAAACCAATCAGCAAAGAGAACCCTGGCTGACTATGAACACCTCGGAAAAAAAGAGAAAGCATTGGTCGATCCGTTGGTCAATCCAGTAGTCCATGTCAAATGATCTGCAGAACATTGCAGAACACTGTGTCGACACTGAGCTTCATTCATCGCGAGGACGTGCCAAGTGGCAGCACCAGGAAAAACAACGTGAAACTCAGCAGCGCGAGGAGTGGCGCACTGATCAAGACCTGGAGGAGCAGGACAGTGGCGAGCAGTGGCGAGCAGTGGCGAGAGCAGGTCCGGCGTCGTGGTGGAATGGCCCGGAACCCGGAAAGAAGTCTTATCAATTGAATGGACAGGCAAAGTCACTGCTTCATGATTCATCTCATGATGCCCTGTTGATCTACAAACCCAAGGTGTTCACCCCTATATGGGTTTCCTGTAGATCCCGGTTTGAGGTCACTTGGGTCTGTAAAAGGTCGGAACTCCAAAGAGGTCACGAACTGAAGAACCAGGTAGATTTTCCCTTAAAACCATTCTGGGAATCTATTCTATCGCTTTTTCTCCGGAAAGGACCCGTCGAAGCCCGTCGCGAAGAAGCCGGCCGCGAAGCGAGGAAGCCGGCCGCGAGACGGAGGCTTCGTGGGGCCCAAACGCTGATGAGTAAGAACGGGCGCTACTATATAAGGAGCAAGAAGCTAGTAGCTCCTGGCATTACTAGTAATGCCCTTTGTTATCTATACCTGGAGTCTCAGTTCGTACCTTGGAAAATGGGTACAGTCGTACCTTTTTTTTATGGGGTCATGTCCCAGGCTTCTAAGGTACTTGGTTAGTCGGGTCCAGGTAGTAGCTAAATGCCCTTTTCTCATAGTAGCTTCTTGTTAGTAGTGTCCTGTTGCACAGAGTCGTTCTTCTGCCCAAATGAGAAAGCCCACGGCACCGGGAGAGAAGACCCGCGGACCCGAATCCTCTTGAGCTTCTGCCGTTTCTCACCAATCCCTATCCCAAACGCTCCATGGGACTGCCATAGGACTGCCGATCAGTTGGGGTGGTGCCAGGGGGGTCAATGTAGGCATATATGCTATACATGGAGTGTATGGGTATAGGTTTTTGGTTGGACCGGTTGGGCTGGGAACTCACGGAGGGCCTGGGGAAGTTCCGGTGAAGACTGGGGGAGTGAAGACTTGAGAGTTACCCAAAAAAAAGCCATGCGAAGAAGGAACGGCCCGAACCAACAAAGAGGGTTTCTTGGGCCCTAGAGCTCCAAATGGCTCCAAGTACCTCCTCAGAAGGTATGACTGGACCCTCCAAATTGTCTAAACCCACCCCAAACGCCTTCTCAGAAGGTATTTGGAGCACTGGGGAGGGTTTGGTTTTGTTCCCGGACGCTGGACGTGTTTTGGAGGGCCCGTAACGGGTTCTGAGGAGTCTACAAAAACATGGGCTCATCACCTTGGAACATGTTGGAACACCCCATCGATGATGATAACCTTGGATCATTGTGGAAGGTTTTATTGATGATCATAAATTATTCCAAAACCGAAAGCCTCTTTAAGTTTTTTTTCCGGTCAAAACATATTAAAACCAAACATCCAAGCCAAGTGGCACATCTCCATAACCGGCTCCTCAAACCGCACCTGTCGAACAAGAGATCTGGCCAAAGACCCAAATCCTTGTGCTCTCAGAATTGGGACATGTGTGTCTTCCCTATGCATGTACGTACGTACGTATATGTATTTATATATTTAACTATATTTATATGATATTTAATGTATGTTGTGTTGTTATAATGTATGTACTTGTACATTGTGTTTGTATAATATGTTTCCCTGATATCATATATGCGTTCCATATTCTAGATGTTCAAACCCAGGTTCTCCGTATATATGTCACAGTTCAGAATCTTCGTGGATGAATGATCCTGAGAAACTGAGGCTGAAAAAAAAGATACAATTCAAGAGAAACAAATTAAACATGTTGGAACCCTTCAGTGTTTGACGCATGGGGAATGTTTGAGGTCGCTTCGTATCGCGAACTGGTCAGTTTAGACCAAACCACACACTGACCTGTCTCAAACTATATAGGGGCCTAGTTTCAGCATTCTGAAAGGCAGACAAAAAACACAAACATGATCAGAGCCATCCTTGGAAAGTGGCAAAGGGTAAACATAAACATGCTCGATGCCTGGATGAATATAATTATGTCATTACCCAAACACTCCATGTCTGTCATATATGCCTACATTGACCCTCACACCACCCCAATGTAGGCAAATAATATACCATACATGGAGTGTTGGGTTATATGTCTACATCTCGCCATGTAAGCAAATCCAAAGCGGATCAAGCTGGGAACTTGAGACCTTCCAACATGATCTGCGTTGATCTCTCCCGATTCCATCTCCCGAGCTGGTCACTCAGTGCAGGGTGCATTCCTTTGAATGTGTCCGGATTTCGGAGAGGAAAGCCTAATAGGTTTGGGCAGGGCCAGCCGCGGGTTCCGCGCCCCAAATCCTTTTCTTGCGAGTGGAGTGCACATGTATGATCTGCTCAGGACCTGATCCTGAGCCGAAGCTGTCTTCGATGTCAGGATCAGGTCACAGGCCTCAGAACCTGGGGACGTAAACAATTAGAGACTCCACTTAGAGGTCACAAACGGAAGGTCCTGGTATGTTTCCGATGGTCGAACCGGCTGAAGTCTCCCGATCCACACCATTCCACACCCATGATTGTTCGCTCCCCTCGTCTTCCGTCGAAAAAAGCCGCCTTTGGCACATGCTCAAGAAGCAAGGTGTCAACGTTAGGAGGAACAAGAAGGTGACCTCAGGTTGTGGCCGATCCCGAGCCTTTGGTGCTGCGAGCACGAACCTAGCGATGTAAACCAGAAAAAACGCCCAACAAAAAAAACGTTGCTTAGTGTGAGCCTTTGGGTTCCCAGCCGGATCCCATCATGACTCCCCCCCAAAAAAAAACATGACTGGTACCCATTGTCCTGGTACCCAGCCGCGTCGACGAAGCGACTCCGTCCGCTTCGGTCCGAGCCGTGGGACTGGTTGACGGAAAGGGAACTTGAAGTACACCTAGTACCCAGACACTCCATCAAACTGCCATATTTGCCTACATTGGGGTCGTTTGGGGGGTCAATGTAGGCATATATGCTATACATGGAGTGTCTGGGGTAAGTGAATTGTAGCTACCCTGGGTATACACTCTCAGAGTGTGTGAACAACTCTCTCAACTGCTGCAAAGGTGAGTTCCTTCTTTCATGGAAGTGGTTGTTGCTTGACCTGAAGTCAGAGCTAGTCATTTGAGCTAAGTTAAGCTAAGCAAAAGGCAGTCTGAAGCTGTCTGAAGCTGTGAAACTCACACAGGACCTACTGGCACTGGAGTGGTTTTCATTGGGTTGTCTGTGTCATTTTCATGCAGCCCTGCATGAACCACTCAATCTAGCACTCCCAGCACTAACTCTGGAAAGAGGCTACAGTGAAGTGTGCCGCCACATCGATGTTGCCCTGGGAGCGGCACTGGGTGATGGTGAGTGCATGTTGATCAACCTGCTTGACGATCTTCTGTGGAGAATGGTGATATATGATGCCTTGGTCGTCCGATTTTCTTCCAAACCACCCTAACAACTGGCACTCCCTCAACTAAGTATCAAATGAGTCTCCAAAAACAGGTGGATTCGCCAATTAGAACCCCTCGACAAGGTGACGAGGTTGGGTTTGCGTAGAAACAACACAGCCGTGTGGTGTTGAGCTTTGGTTGGATTGAAAAGCAACTGGTCAAGCTCGAGAAAAACGTTGTTGTTGACAGGTCACATAGCAGCCACTTCGAGAATTTGATGCGCAGCTGCTAGACCCCCAGCCTTTTTGGGGATGAAAGGAACGAACAAACATGAGATCCCAATCATTAAGTGTCATGAGTGTCCGCGTCCTTCTCTCCTCCCATGCTTTTTCCCCCCTTTTGGTTGGGCGCTGCACGGAAAAAAAAAAAACATAAACAACTTTTAGGGGCACGAACAGTTTGTTTGTTTTTGTTCCACTAGCTAAGACTTTATATATATCCCAACCCGAGAAGAAGGTGCACATACCGGACCGGTTCAAGCAGGTTTCTCTGTGTTCAATCTCGAAAGTCTATGTCGGCACCCGAGGTCAAAAGGACCCCGCCCAAACCCACCCTAGGCCTCCAGTCGTACCTTCTGAGAAGGGGTTTGGGGTAGGTGCCAGGAGGGTCCAGTCATACCGAACCTGATGAGGTACGACTGGAGGTGTAGGCCACAGAAGTCGCCACTAGAAAAGAGAAGCTGTTTGTTGTGAGCGGTGGAGAACATCCGCGAGAATCATTGAAAGCGAGGCGAGAGGCTACTAAAGCCGCTGGGGAGGAAATCCCCACGAGGCCAATGAGGTAAGAGGCTATAAGTAGGATATCCAAGAGGCTATCTAACCACCGCCTGTAGGTTCTGCTTGCACCAATTGCAACTGTTTGTGTTGGTTGGAGGAATACCAGCTGCTCGCAGCACATGGTCACTGCACACGCTGAGGACTCGAAATGGCGTCAACTCTGACGAAGCGTGCAGACGAAGCTAGCACACCACCCTCTGCCAGGGCCCCCGTCAAACGGAGTGGTCAATAGACACCCATTAACCTCTAAGGAGCTAGTATTGGACACCCCTTAAGGGGCCCTGGTGAAATGCACGTTTTACTTTTTTTGCACACGTGTGCCTTAGGTCAAAACCCGTAGCTGCCATGCAATGAATTAAAAAACCTCCGAAATGAAAAACATCAAACAAGTAGCCTTTGAAGGTCTGTTTCCACCAAAAATAAAGAACAACTCAGCCCCCACAAGAAGAAATTAATGATAGAGACATACCCTGTTTCAGGAGACCTGCCTCACTCCGTCCCTCCTTCCGTCAAGAAAAGACCATCAGTCCGCCCAAAAGCTCTGCCCTTTGAGTCCGCTCTCGGAAACCCCCAGCTCTCCGTCCGGAACACCTTCCAAATCAAGGTCAACAGCAGCGTCAGCAGCAGCACTGTGGCCTGGGAGTCCACCCTGGCTGGTGGCTTCACCAAAGAGCAGCTGGAGGCTGGAGTTTTGGGGTTCCCGCCTCTACAAGGTGGATCTGATTTCTAGCGCCCCAAAAAGAACTGGATTCCTGAAAGGCATCCTCTTCAGGTAAGCACGTCCACGTCTCCTTCTTGGTCCGCGGCGAAAGCTTGTACCAGAAAGATCAATGTGGCACAAAGGTAGAGCAGGGCTCTGTCCTGAGCGCTTGGCACATTCGGAAGAAATCGACCTCGTTCGCCGACCCAAAAACCTCTGGTGCACTAAGCGGAGCAATGTAAAATCGTGATTCATAAATATAACGCAACGATTTTGGGTTGTACACCTATTCATGTGGGCCGTTATCCATCAAGAGTCTAGATTACCTCCCTGGAACAATTCAAAACAATTCATCTTGCTCAGGTTGATCTGACAAATACCAATCCAACATGGTGCCTTCTGTAGACGTTCCGTTTTCATCTCCAGTTTTTGTCGGAATATGAGTGGTTTAATTCAAGTAGGGAGACCTCCCAGTTTGACCCTCTGGAAGAAGGACAGACCACTCAACCCATTTGTGGGTGATCTCCCTATTGATGATTACACACACCATATACTTTGGTACGTATATATGTGGCATTGCTGTTTAACAAAAAAATATGCAACACCTCATGGTGGCGAAAAGCGCGTCCAATGGTCACAATGATTTCTTTGCGAAACAATAGAAGGATGGGGAATCATCAAACTATTAAAATGATCTCCGATGAGGGGGGGGCTTTGATGTGTCATTTGTTGTGTCGATGGCCCAATGACTCGATGACCAATGGGATTTCGGAGATTTGAGTGCTTTGTCCAATGGGTGTTCGAACGTGAGCAACATGGATTCCGTTTCGGCAACTGGGTCTATGATTATGCTCTATGATTATGCTCTGAGCGTGTGGACGCTTTCAGCCAGAGAGAAGTATTTGACCATATTTGACCAAAACACCTTGGAGAGCAGTCTAGTCTAAGTTGCTTTCCCAAACTCGCTTTCTTGGAAGCGACGGCGCATAGCATGTTTACTCACACTCACACACCGAAGTTTCTCAAATCCTGCTTCACCTATGGCCAAACAGCCTGGCTTGCCATTTGTGCTTCTCATTTATGCTTCGTTGCTTTGGCGGGATGTGGCCATCCACCGTCACGAGCCGCCCGCGGGGAATGTTTAAATCCCCCTGGCGGGTGCGGGTGCGGCGCATGGTGTGGCACGAGTAGGTCGTAGTGCATGTACATCCGGGAAGATTCACATGGAACCGGGCTACTGGCATGGACCTAGGAAGACGAGCGGCTCGCTTCCTCCAAGGTTTGTGATTTTCAGATGCAATATCTAATCTTCCACGGTGGAAAAAACATCTGAATGATGCGCCGAGAGTCCCACTTTCGTCTTCGGAACTTGGTCGGGACCTCCTGCTCTTCTTGCATCTGGCGCAGAAACAGCTGCTGTTGAAATTGAAGAGCAAAAGTGGCCATCATGGATCATCACGGCACTTGGTACCCCAGCCCAAGCGCCCAGCCAACACATACAAAACACAACATGGTCTAACCCATCAAAACCCCAACCTGACACTTTTGTGACACTTTAACACTTTCATGACACTTTCTCAAACATGTGCTGGTGAAGGCATTTTTTGGAAAACACAAAGGTAGCAACGTGTCCAGTGTCGTTTCAGTGACGTGAACTCAGCGATTCGTGACGTAACCAGCGAGAAATCACACCTGCAACGTGGACCTGGTTCCAAAGATTTGAGATTTGGTTCGGATTGGTTCCTTTCGTGGATACCAGATTCGTGGATACCAGATTCGTGGATACGATCCATCAGCAGCACAGCTGCAATTGCTTGAAATTAGCGCTTGTCCTCGGCTTTGCAAGTGCCTGGTAGGGGAAGCCTCTGTTTTGATTTTGCAACTACTGTAACTAGGGACTTCCGAGGGATGCTTTGGTCAACATCTTGCCCTAGGCTGGAGGCCATCGCTACTACGTTGGAGGCCATGGCCATCGCTACAAGCACTAGCTTGGAGGCCATCGCTACTAGGAGCAAGAAGGTATTAAGTTTCTTGCCCTAGGCTGGTTTTGGAGCCCCAACATCCACATGTATCCTTCTAGAGGGTCTGGGCCTTATGTCTCAAGCAAGGCCCGCAACCCAGCTTAGTCTTGCGGGTCTATCGCTGTTCTCCGCTTTCTATTGAAAGGACGTTTCATGCGCATTTTCCACCGCCTATTTCCATTGTACTACTATCTGCTTGTGCTAAGAAGTCTTCAGATGGTTTTTCCCTTTGCATCTGCTGTCCGTGTGACATAGCCACCAAAACAATAAACACACAAAAAACACTGAACACACTCAAAGATGACGTCAATGACTGAAGGGCAAATCCTTATACATGGACTTGCTGATTTTGCTGTTTTGTTTTTTGTTGACTATGTTACATTGCCACAGCAGATACGCAATAGCCATGCAAAAGGCCTCTAAGCACGCGTTTAAAAGAGTTTTTACTTTGAAGATTCAACATGGAGTAAAAGAGCAAGAGAAAGAACACCTTTACTTGAGAGAGGAGGGGGTGAACGAAAGGTAGCAGGGTGATTGGGGTCTACATTTTTGCCAGCAAGCAAGGAGAACTCTTGATTAGCTCAAGCTACCTTTCGTGATTCGCTCTTTTTCGCACCAAAAGTTCCAGTCGGACATTGTTCTTTTTCGGTCGGTGGATCTTCCAGGGGCCATGACCCCCCCAAACCTGAAAGTTCGGAAAACCCCCCGAAAGCGGGCACTGCTGGTAGTATCGTTTTAAGTAGTTGGCTCACCTCAGAACCTCTGTCAAATAATAATAATATTCATATATATTAATTCATTCTATATATTCACCCGCAAACAGCTTGAGGTCGACAATTTTGAGCCTCCACATCCTCTGCCTCGATCGCGCCTTCGAAGGAAGCGGCAATGAAGAAGCACTGTGCTGGGCTACATGGAGGTGAACTGGACGATTTCGTGAGGAAACCTGCTGTTTTTCCTTCCAAAAGGAGTCAACTCTTGGTCATTGATGTCATATGATGTCTTTGTCATTGATCTTGCCAAAACATCCCGGTGCCCCGGTGGATCCCTTTTTCTGTTCGTCCCTTCGGTCGTCAAGACCATCTCAAGTTCATCGTCGATTGGGCCTCCATCCGTGCGTCGTGAAACCGTGCGTGGTCCGCGGCACGGAGCTGAGTTTTCGGTCTTCAGCACGAGGCCAGGTGAATCTTTCACATCTTTTCCATGCAGCAAAGACATGTGACGGGTTCCCATCCATGGGGAGACCCCCAAATCATCCATTTAATGGGTTGTTGAATCATAAACCCTCCGTTGAAGTGGGCGCCCCCATTGATGGACACCTCCGCTAAGACATCTAAAAACCTCTATAGCCAGTGGATCGCCTGGCTTCATCACCTTTTTTTGGGATTGGGGACGCCCCACTAGACAAGAACAGGTAGAACATCCAGCTTCTTCAGTTTGTGACCTTCTAATAGTGCACCCAAAAGGGAGGCTTAAGTGACCGAACCAACTGAAAGCTAAGACTAAACTACTCTACATGCCTAAGTGTAGGGTGTATAAAAACTGCTCGTTCAAAGCGCGATCGAAACGGCCAAGACACCATGGTTCACGCCCTACAAGTAACCCCCATCTTGGCGTGGTTCAGGAGTTGCCCCTGATTGTACAAGACCCCTCAGCGTGGTTCCGCGCGTAGACTCGTGCGTGTTGCGTAGACTCAGCTTGTGCACACGCTTTGCACTCAGCTTCTGGGGTGCGAATTCGGTGAGGATAATGTGGCAGGGGGGGAACATTCACCAAACTGTGCAACAAAACAATCTGGAACATTGGGCGGTATCTGTTCTTGAGTGTCACTGGGTGGTGGTTTCAACTCACTTGAACACTATTAGTCGGTGGATTCAATCATCCCAAGTCAAGGGTTGAACAAAAAAAAATTCTCTGGAACCACAAACCACATCAAGGTGTCCTGTTCTTGGAATTATATGAATATTTGGCTACACACTCTCCCAGCTTGCAAAGCTTCCAGATTTGATGCCATTCCGCTTGCAGGGTGTCACCTGTGCTACCTGCACCACTTCGAACCCGAGATTAACTCAATCGCTCAACAGCAGATGTTGGGAACTTGACTTTTGGAAACCAGGACCACCTTTGGGCCAACGACATCTTGTGAAGCACGTGGCGTTGACCGATCAAACGATTCACGGGGACACTCAAACGGTTCAACGCCCAGCCGAACAAAAGCCGACGAACGACCCCCCTGCCTTCCTTGCCCATCACGAAACAACGACGCGTGGGGCCGTTCGGGTGCTTGCCTGACCACGCAACCAGCAACGAGTCATGACCAGCAAATTAGAGATGTCATGGCCCCCTCCGATGCCCACGTGCCTACCATTGTTTTAATGGCCTTGACCAAAGAACCATGGTTTTACCAAGGATTCTCACTACAAACCAGGTCAAGCATAACTTGTGATTGGCCTTTGAAGGCTAGGGTCTGCTTGGACAACATCCAGTCCATCACCTGTAAAGTGATGTCTTTAGAGTCTCGATTGTTACATTTTACAGCCTAAGTCACCTCATCCTGGGATCACCACAGGTAACTTTGAAGGTCGAAGATCTTCACACGCAGCTACTCAGGCAGGTACATGGGGACAGTGGTCTTTTCCGGCTCGCACATGCTGCCAACATTGACACGTTCTGTTTAATATACCCATTGACCTGGTGAGTTCGTCAGCGGACTCGCAGTTGTGTACCAAGCAAAGGGTGCATATTCCCTAGGGCTCCTGGCACCTCCATTTCGAAGGGGGTTTGGGTGCCAGGGGGGGGATCGAACCACCGAACCTGAGGAGATGGGACAGGAGCCCAAACGGGATGATTGTAAGCACAGGATTCACGCAACCCCTCCTATTGGTTTGGTCCGCCTCGGGTCCTGCAATAGTAAATGCCTTTCAACAAAACCCTTAGTTAAGCCCTGGAAGATTGACATGGTTCGTGGAGCCAGCTTCCGCTGGTCTTCCAAAGGCACCAGTTTTCGGGTTCCTGGTGGGTCTCCCTGGACCCTCCAAACTGGGACATGACCCCATCAAAAACAGCTGTCTAGACTGTGGTACCCATTGAACCCGAGGTACGAGTGGTACGAACGAGGTCCGGGTCGACTCCAGGCTCCAGGGCCCAGACACGACTAATGGGACTAGCATATATGCCGATCAATTGAACCCCATACATGGAGTGTCTTGGGGGGTGATGCATCAACTCTTTTCCGTTTCCCTCCGCAAGAGATTTCATCCACTCTCTCCGTCCGATTCTCGGCGCGTCCCGCCTCGAGTCCCGCCTGGAAACCCCAGAGCCCCTTGAGCCATTCAGGTGGCAATGCAGGTGAGTCGGGCGATTCAGGTGGCAGCCTGGAAAACCAGAAACAACTGGTGGTTCCAATATGGCACTTGAGATTCTTTACATAGGAAGTGGCTGGGGACTGAGTGACTGTGACTAAGGCAACATCCGAGCTTGTTTCTGGTTGTGTAGGTTTCCACAGTCGAATCTCAGCTGGTGGCAGTCTCTCTTCCTAAAGTTTGGAGCCTTTGATAGCCTTTGACTTCAACTTCCGTGGCAAAAAAACTCTCAAAACACCAAGACCAAACAAGTAACAGCACCACTCAGTTCGGGTATAGTTTATCATGTTTATAGACCCCCCCAAACTCACCATGTATTGTCCATCCGAGTCCACTTTTGTGACATACTTAGTTTGGCTTCTACTTTGAATCTTCAAAACCGCACACTGCACCATTCATCACCCCCCCGACCTCTATTCGACACTTCATTCATCACACCAATTAGCCCGAAGGCGCGCACGCACACGGCCTCCATCCTAATTGCAATGGCCTCCATCCTACTAGCGATGGCCTCCACACCATACGCGCCTCATCACAAATGGAGAGGACTTTATACCAATTCCCACCCGCACGATGCCACTTGTCAGCCGCTGCCTGTGGAGAGTGGACACTCAGCAGCTGCCCGGCAGCGCCAGGTGGGCAACAACCCGATTGCTTTCTACAGGCCAAAAGGTTGGAGGCCATCGCTATTAGGGCAACCAACTGTGTTTTCTTCTGCGCCCCGAGCTGAAAATGATCTTTTCACGAGGATACCCGGAGGCTCACCAGTCAAACAGGGCTCTGTGAACAGGGAAACGATGATGGGATACATACTCACAGAGTATATACTGTAACTTTGTTCATACTTTAAAGCAATCGGGTCCAAAGATATGACATATATTTATAACTAGTCTATAGACCAGTAACAAAAAACATCATGCCATTTAACAAACTGGAATGTACAACAGCGCACAATGATGCATTGTCGCCTTGGTACTCCAAGCGCGATCGACTCATCAAACATGAAAGATCGATCCACTCGTCGGGGAAAAACAAAGCTTCCGTTCAAACTGAAGTCGACTCTATTGGAGTCTTAGATCTGGAGATCAAGCAAGCTTGGCCACCCAAACCCTTATAGAATCCATGGCAAAGAAGGAGATCAAGCAATTCTTGGCCACCCAAACCCTTATAGAATCGGCCAAGAAGGCACACCGAGGGCCCCCCCCATCTGATCGCTAGGGCGGAAGCGAGCTTCCACTCGTTCGGCACGTGTTTGGGACTCGTTCGGTCCCGAAGCGGTGGGGTCATCGGCGACCCGACCCCTGCCAAGGATTCTTACCCAGACACGACCTGTCTGGGACTGCCATGAAGGACTGCCGAGAAACGGCCAGGGGTGGTGCCACGGGGGTCTGTCTGGGGCGGCATATATATATATATGGCAGTCCCATGGAGTGTCTAGGTTATAATACCCAGACACTCCATGTATGCCATATTTACCTACATTGGGGTGGTGCCAAGGGGGTCAATGTAGGCATATATGCTATACATGGAGTGTCTGGGATAGGACCTTCAGTTCGTGACCGGTCACCTTGAGATCTGCAGCTGCTATGGTCACCCTATTTCAGATACCAGAGACCGAGGTCACAGAGGTCCCGCAAAGAGGTCACGGGTCGTGAAGGTCCTCGGCTATTGTGTTGTACCTGGACGCCACTAACCAAGTACCTTAGAAAATGGGACATGACCTCATAAAAACAGGTACTTGTACCCATTTTCCAAGGTACTTTGAGACTCCAGGTATGCTTTAATTGTCGTTCTTTTCAAACAACGTCGCCGCGTCGCTCCGGATACGTCAGCGCCAGCTTGGCAGCACCGAGGATTCATGGATTGCGATGGCCGACGGCTGGGCACCACACATTCAGGATCACCATGGCACGCTCCAGGTCCTCTTGCTCCAACCTGGTGTCGAGGTGGATGGGTGTGTTTTCTCGACATGAAAAAAAAACGCAGTGAGGATCTAGGTTGAAGATGGTTGAAGTGCGTTCCCCCATCAGGTTCCATGATTGCCTGGTCTGGTTTCATTGAAAAAGACGGCCTTGGCTGACTTTACAAATACCATGTATACTGTATACTCTGATGTTGTTTTTATACATGTGGAGAATAACTAAAATGTCATGTGAATTTGATACCAAATGGTTCCAAGCACGACTAAGGGTCTTCCTGTATGGCTCTACCAGTACATGTTTCTTACATGTTCCTACATTGCCCTTGCATTTTTCCACCGGTTCCCTATTCTATTTGTCATCATGTTCTACATGCTGATTGCAGTTTTAGAGCATTGTCCCTACATCTTACGTTGTTTGTCCTGTTTCTACATTTCCCGTCAGTTTTTCTGCATGCTCACTGTGTGACTGTATGTTGTCACATTTTGCACATATCATATAGCTTCATCTGTCCTACATGTTCTATGATTCGCACATGACTCGACAATTCTCTTCATGGTTCTGCAGTTTTCCACATGCTTAAACAGTTTCTACTTTTTACTGTCATAGAATAAAGTCTTATTGGCGCTGAAGTTGAACAAACACGGTTGGTTTTGCTGACACTAGTCGTTCGCAAGACCCACGTATGGCGCCAATTTCGAGCCCAATTTGGTCGTTTCAGGCGGCTTCTTCTTGAGCCCACAATTCTTGTAAATCCTTGTGGAGAAAAAGCGTCTTGTTGAGCAACCAGAAAGTGTTGAAATCCAGAAACACACATTGGTTAGCAATGTTTGTGCTTTTAAAGGTGTTTGGCAAAACATCTCTTAAATCGATGCTCTTCCTTGAAAATAACACAACTACTGAAAGGTTAAAGATTAAATTGGATATCTTGAGATATTACACAAGCTCAGTTTCACAAGTAAAATGTTTAAAACGTGAGTCTACAACTTAATTTAGTCCCTCTATGTTCTGCAACTGCTCAAAACCTTTAAACAAATTTCCGGTGAAGCTCACCTACAACCAAAAACGGTCACAGTGGAAATTCCGGTGTTTGTGCTGTTCCTCAGCTGAGCAGCTGAGCTGTTGGTTGTGTCTGAGCGCTTTTTGTGTCGGCCGGCCTAGGCCAGCGATCCAATTGGAGCCGATAGAGCGCTAGGACGAAACTGAGGCGCGCGGGGTGAAGCGCGGGGCGTCACGGGGCAAAAACGGGGCAACTGTGACTGAAAACAACGACGGTCACGACAAGTTCGTTGGCTTAGAATCGATCACAGGCTGGGACATGGATTGATGTGAATAAAAGATGGATGTGATTCTTCAAGTATGTTCCCGTTGGCAAAAGACTGTTCTTTGGGTTGTGAGTGTCAGGGTGCTTCTGTTGGCATGTGGCGATTGAAGGTATACTTGCACCATCTTACACAGCATGTTGGATAATCAAACCCTCAGACCACCAGCTTAACTCACTCAGAGAATCCAGTATACCAAGTGGTCACTGCCCCGCCGACTTACTCACTGAACCCATCATCGGATTTTTCAAGCTCTTTTGCTGACGAAAGCACACATAATACCGGGCATCCTCGAAAGCATGCAAAAATACAGATTTGCTTGGCGGACGAGACTGTACGTTGTTTTTCAACCCAGGAAAGAATCACAGATTCAACCTACCGATGGAAATGGCACTGGTCCCCTTGCGGAATGCCGCATGGCAACCGCGGTAGGCCCTCCAGCTCATGCAAAGAAAACGCTCACCAAATGGCAGGCATAGATATCCCTAACCATGTATGGAATAATATCTATTTGTCTACAATTGGGGTGATTTGAAGATGTTTTAAGAGCCAATGTAGGTAAATGTTCCACACATGGATGGTCTGGGTATGAGTCTTTGGCAAAAACCGACAGTTTTTGTTAAAGAGCCTGGGGGTCTAATGGCTCCAATCTGTTCGGCATGAGGTGTAGTCTCCACGAAAAAAAACACAAACATACACAAACCACTTCCTGACTGGTCACCACAAATCAACGACCCAAACGCTGCAGACAGCCCTTGGTCCCTCAAAGCCTAGGGATTGGTTCGACCCCAAACCCCTCCGAGGGTCCTACCCCTCCATATGTGTAGATGAACATTGTTGACCTAGTTCTTCAGGTTGTGGACGATTGATGAGCCGAAAAGAGACATGCGAGAACCATACCCTTGTGTTATCAACACCCCTAGCTCCTGAATCTGACCGGTAGCAAGGGCAGAACCGTCTCTTCTCTAAAACCCGTCAGGTTTTGTGTCGCCGGCACGGAGGCGTCGTTCACAGGTCGAACCGCATCCCGCATCCCCAAGGACTGGCCCAAAAGGCCACGTGAACATCGAGTTCTGTGACCATCTACTTAATTGACCCGCTTTCACCCACCAAAAGCAGCAGATGTTCATTGCCGATGGCGGCAATCTCCGCACTTGGTTGGTGGGCCGCACGACCCAAAACACGATGGCCGATGAAGTGCCCCAAATATTGCAACAGGGGACCTGCATTTGTCCCACAGAAAATGAAGAGAAAATGGATGCCCCCAAACATGCTCAACCTACCAGGGTCTGGGCCAGGCTCCAGGTGCCACGACCCACAGTCACGACTGGGAACACCAGCGAATTGGGACTCTGGGAACAGCAAAGAACCAGCGCAGCAAATGAGACTCGTGCTTCGGACATGTGCACAGTGTCTCTAGAAGGTTCCACTTAAGGAACCCTTCTTGAACATGGGTGCCGGACAAAACAAGAGCAATGACATCTCCTCCTTTTTTTGGTTGGGGCCTTCTATCGCACGATGTTCAGCCTGGTGTTCTTCCAGGAAGCCCAGGCTGAACAGCGATGACGATCGAATCTGCTCCATGTCTGGCGCCCCGACTCCTTCTCAGTGGCTTCCCCACTGCCATCCGCCTTGGAGCACGCCACAGGACGTGCCAAAGACCAACTGAGGTGGTGTTCGTTCCCACGTCCGGAAGCAAAGCACACACTTTGTGGCTATTTGTGTATCT